TCGAGAGGACAATGAACGCTGGCTGTCATTTTTTAATTGCAAAGCTAAGAGCCCAAAGACAGCAGTCAACAGACAGGCAGCCAACGCCAGGCCAGTACATACATAGAAGTGGCATTAAAGGCTTAATAAGAGAGCGTCAGTCTTTTTAATTATTGATAAGGTGCTCGTAGAAAATGCAGGCGCAACAATTAGAATTGCTGTTTGAACCTCATTCATGGACGGAAAGTGCAAAAGGTATGACCCCTACTTCTGCCATATTACGAGTATAATTATTTCACAGTATGAAACTCGTTCAATAGAAGCATTTAAAAGGCGGGCGGGGCGCGGTTTCTTAATTGTTGGTTAAACGCGAATCACTGCTAAGGTACTCCTTAACACTTTGGCAGAGCTTCAAATTTCAACTGCGTTGTTTTTAAATAATTTTGTTTAAAGTCGCTTTCTGAAATATATTTCCAATGCAGCTTAGAAATTCGGAGCTCAGCTGCTCTTCACACCGCATCCGCGCGCATTTAACNGCGGTCTCTGTGCCATACAGCCAATTGCAGACGTTCGCCCGCGGCAGCAGTATCCGTTTCCGTTTGCGCCTGCGCCTGCGCCTGTGCGCTCAAATCAAATCTGAAGCGGTGATCGAAGTACGGACGGCTTGAATGCCGATGCACAGCCGTACGCTGGAAGTAATTCTCCGCTGGCTTATTGGCTGGTTTGTTGCGTATCAGCGCTACCTTAACGTATGCATTCAGCGCAGTAGAACCATTTGGACGCTGTAGATCGCGACAACGTATAACTATTAAAAGTAGGAAGAAGAAGAGAAATTGAAAGTAACGGCGTTTTTACTCTAACAATAAATTGTGTTTCGTGATTTTGCTATTTTAACCACCGCCCAATAAAGTTGGAACTCACCATGTACATTTAATTGCTGCCGCTCTACGTGTATAGACACCTCCACATTTCCACGCACGGCGTTGCTGCTCGGGCCTTTCCATGAGCCCTGCGAATTCCGCGATGCGCGTCCGGAACCGAAGTGGTCGCCCATCATGGAGCTCGTATTGGACGATGCCACCGAGCTGCGTTTTGCGGCGCTGCTAAAGTCCGCGTCGTCTTCCTCGTCGCTAGCCGATGAAAAGCTCAGACAACGCTTGATCGAATACGTCTCTTCCAGCGTCGGCGTTGAGCTGCGCTGCTGTAACTCAGCTTCAGTAATCTCTGCTGCCGCTGCAGATGTTGCTGCATAATTATTGTCAACGACGTATATTGAGTTTGGTGGCGTTTGCATTGCTAAAAGTTCAGCGCGAGTCGTGCTGCCATGCTTGAAGAGCGGTGTGTCCGGACTTGGTATGCCATCGGGTAGCGTCAGGCCTATCAGTGGTTGCGGCTGAGGTGGTGTCAGTCGTGAAGCTCCGGCCGCTTCCTGGGCTATTCTCCGACGCGCATCTGTTGTCTTGGTGTTCTTGCGCCGCACAACGCGCTGCCGCTTTAAAT